TCTGCGGCCGCTGGGTGCGGGAGGGGTGCTGTGGCCACGGCGGGGGACACCACAGCCGGGCTGGGGGCTTGGGGGGGGCTTGGGGTCCTTCCCCCACCCCAGGTGCCACATCATCAGCGCTGAGGTTTCGGGGGGAGGCTTTGGGCTGCGGATTCAGCCGGAGCCCCGGGTATTTGATCCGCTCTGGCAGGGTGAGTTCATCAGCAGAGGCAGCGTGTGAAAGGATGTATGGAAATCCTATAGCAACAGTTGTTCCTGAGCTGTGCAAAGTTCACATAGCGCTAAGGCTTCCCGGATGCTCCTCGTGCCACGGGTTTCTGTTTCAAGGCGCTTGGAAATCACTGGCGATTCACCCCGGCCGGCACGGCCGTCTCCTCCCCACGTACGCTGCTCCGGAGGGACCGGTAGCAGGAGATGTCATCCTCATCATGCCAAAGAGAACACCTGAAATATTTTTAAAAAAGCAGAATTTGGGGTTTGGGGTATTTTTTTGTTGCCGCTGCGCTCGGGGTGAGCTGCTCCGGAGGGTTTTCAACTGCAGAGTACCAGCACGAGTTGAGCGGGCTGCACCGTGTGCCACGGCGTGCAAAGGAGGGGGAGAATACCTACCGCTCGCCGTGGAGGAGGATTTACTGGGGAGAAAAGGTCCAGGAGAGAAATACTGTAGGAACACGGCTAATACTGAACACCGTAGGAACTGGGTTGGTGCTCAGAGCCCGGGGGGGGCTGTGCTGGTCCCCAAGAGGTGTCGGCGATGTGATGTATGGGGATGTTCTGCCTCCGTTCCCACCTCGTGGCGACCGGACCTCGTGCCGCCCTGGGGTGTTTGATAGTCTCTGCGGGCAGAGGGTATCGAAGAGCCTTTTTTAGGCTCTTCCCTTACATGTCTTCATGGCAGCGGAATGGTTTTGTCCGACGTGTCAGGTGAGGGTTAAACCCGGCTGTTAACGCCGGGGGAAACCCCGCGGAGCTGAACCTGCCTTTGGTTTTTTTTAATGCCAGCGAGCGGAGCTGCGGCTGATCTGAGGGAAACGCTCCGTGTAACGATGTCAAATGGACGTAGAAGGTATCAGTGACAAATCACAGCACACTGTCCCCGGCCCAGACGTTCCTCGGCTTTGCCATTGACGAGCGCCCGGCCCCGTAACGGTGTAATTATAGTTTTGTGGGTCTCTCCAGGCACGCACGGGGTTGCACACAAGGAAATATGCCTTTTTATAGCTTGTGGAAGTGTGGGTGATGCCATCAGTATTCGTGTCTCGTTTCTGGCTGCGGCGTCCCCGTTCCGGCCAGACAATCGGAAAAATACCAATGCGACACGAGGCCGTGGCGGCGGCGGATCAGACTTCTGGCTGCTTCACCACCCTGTTTAAAAACACCCCGTGAAACAGGCTGGGTGGGTTTTTTTGGGTGACTTCTTGCTGATCTGTGGCAGCTGCTTTTCTGGAGGAGCGTTTCTAATTAAGGCGGGCCCAAAAGTCTTCTGAAGTGAGCGGTGCTGCCACCACAGCTGAGTTATTTTCGTGCCCAAAAGATCACCACATTCAGCCCACGTGAGAGGTTTTGGACGTTAACATGGTGAACCTCTCCTGCGTGGAGCGCCGCATGTGCTCCAGTACATCAGTTTAATGGCACTTCCTATCTTTAGCCGGTGTATTTCGATAGCGGGTTGACAGATCTCAACCTGCTCACCTATCTCACCACAGTATTGAAGCTCAATTAGTTACCAGGCACAGAGCGGTCTGGAGAGTTTATTATTAGCCTGGAGGTGGTCACTTGCTGAGGACAACGCTGCAATCAGGTCTTCATTGCGTGCGCAGAGCTACGGGGTTGGGCCCCACCATTGGAGAAGGATGTGAAGGTCCTCAAATGCCTCCAGAGTGGGGCAGCCAGGCTGGGGACAGGGCTGAAAGGTGTGTCCTAAAATCATAGAGTGGTTGGAGTTGGGAGGCACCTTGAAGATCATCATCCCATGGGCAGGGACACCTCCCCCCAGCCCAGGTTGCTCCAAGCCCCGTCCACCCTGGCCTTGAACCCCTCCAGGGATGGGGCAGCCACAGCTTCTTGGGGCAACCTGCCCCAGGGGCTCACCACCCGCACAGGAGAGAATTTCTTCCTCATATCTCACATAAATCTCCCCTCTTCCAGTGTAAAACTGTTCCTGCTCGTCCCACGGCTCCCCTCCCTGATGCAGAGTCCCCCCCCAGCTCTCCTGGAGCCCCTTTAGGCACTGGAAGGGGCTCTCAGGTCTCCCCTTTTTCGCCTTCTCCTCTCCAGGCTGAACCCCCCCAACTCTCCCA